AAACATTACAATGTTTTCATACACAAAATATCATTTTTTTCTTTTATTAAGTCTTAAGGTTTGTTAAGCAGTTTTTTTCATGCCTTTTCTTTCTTTTTGCATGTTGCCTATCCAACATGCAAAGCAATTTTCATTTTAAGATTAAAAATACTTTTATGCATTAAAAAATTTTCAAATTTCACATGTGAAAACATTATAATGTCCAGATAGTTATCAAATGTTTCTTAAAAAAAAAACTTTATATTTTATTTTATTTTCACTAATGAATCTCTTTACGGGTTCGGTAGATTTTACCAATCTTGTAACCACCATAAAAATTAGGAAATAAGTATAAATTATGTCTTTTTCATTCTAGAATGACAACAAATTATAACAAGAGAAAAAAAAAATGCTTAAATTAAATCTCATAACATTATAGATTTATATTGACCTTTCAGCCATGCCTGGCTAACAATACAGAAGTTACAATGACTTGGCACACATGCTTTTATGTTACCGTATCCAGTAATATAAAACTGACCTATAATCTTTACAAAGTGACCTGTCTTGGCTGTGTTTTAGTAGACTAGTATTTTTTAAAATGCAGTTACATTTCAATTATTATACATTATATATATTTATAGCTTATTACTATTTAGAAATAAGTTCTTAAAACATAGAACAGTAAGTAAAGCAAACAATTATCTCTTCTAGTTACGACCTTTGTGCTCAGTTGCTGCTAAGCCTTTTAAAATTTCGCATGTGGAGGATATGAAAAAAAAAATTCTTAAGTTTATGTATATGCAGTTGAATAACCAAAAAATCATAAATTACTACATTGATACCATAGAATTGCAATATAATTTATCAAGCTTAGTAACTAAGCTGTATTTGGGTCAAAAAATAAGAAATTTCAAGTAGATTAAAGACAACCTACCTCCTCGAATATGACTGAGAAAGCCACTAGGGGATTATTCACAGCTTTCAATTGGTTATTCACATGTCATATTGAAGTAAATGTATATAAAGGACTATTTCCAAAAATGGAAGGAGATGAGCAAGACCACTGTGTTTGATATCTCAGCAAACAGAAAATATTAGGTTCTTATTTGATATTCTAGCTTGTCAATATCAGTAATTTGAGTTCCTAATTCTTACAAAACTATAGACTTAGTATTTTGAACCAGTGCTGCATTCAACATACCACGTGACACACAAAAATTGGTTTAATTTTTTTTTAAATATTTACTTTTAAATTAAGAAATCAAATAATGTATAATACTAAAATTTGAATTATAATCTACTTATTGACATAAATTCATAAAATAGTTCAATAAAATTTTGAATGCAAGTGAACAAATGCGATGACGTGGCCTTTGACCTGTGAACCTTCTGGAGAGGGTTATAGTACATAACATACAAATCTGAACAGGATTTATACATCAATCCCATAGAAATATTAAGTTAATGTATAAAATATGGGCACAAGTGTTTATCCTTCAATTAGCCCTGTTTTAACCAGCTTGTGCATCCACATACTACTATAATTTAATTGCTGTTAAAATAAGCTTTAGTGTGAAAGGTGTTGAAGAACAAGGTAAAGCATTTATGTAATATTTCATTGTCAAAAAAAAGATTCTAGCCATAGGAATGTTTATCATGAATGTGCTTAATTATTTTAAATCTTTGCTAGGTGTCTTTTGTTCAGTAGCAGAGCTCATCAGGCAAGCTTGCAGATAAAATTAAAAAAATTAAACCAGTACAACATATGTAGATATGCATGTTATAATATTTATCCTACATGGTTTGTTTCAGTCACTTTCTTATCAGGAGGTCAAAAAACTTGGGTATGTGCAAGTTAAATGAAATCGTACACTGTTAATATTTCAGAAAAAAAATGTCTAGCTAAACATTTATGAAGATTAATAGAAGCAATGGTAAGATAGAATTTTGTTCAATCTTTAGTTTCATATAATTTTTTTTTTGCCAATAATACAACTTTAAACATAACTGGCAAAGCTAAGATCAATAAATTCAGTTATATTGTTATAGATCTATTAATATTATTTTCTCTCAAAGAAAATGTGCTTTATTTATTGTTAGACTCACAAAATGTTATAACATTCAATGTTTCCTAGATTATAAACTGTATTATCTTGTTTTAAACCTGAATTTTTACAGTGTGAAATAAATGTTTTTCAACAGATTCACCATGGTGTGAAATCAGGCCTTCGCATGCAAGTTCTAAACATGTAAAAACTGTCTTTCAGTCCAAAAAGAAAGAAAAATTTCAGTCAGGATTTCTGGTTAAAAATAGGAATGAGCCATCAAATATTATGTAAGTATATATCAGAAATTTACCTGAATACAAGATAACGTGTTAAGTAAGTCAAAAACATTTTTAACAAAAATATCTTAGTGTTTCAGTACTCCTGATTCATTTTTGAAAAAACTTGTTTGTCATTAGATAAACAGAATATTACTTGCAAGTTTTCTGTTATACTGACAGAGTACTTTAATTCTACAGCCAAGTTCTTGAAGTGATTGCAGCAGTTCGTAACCAAGATGTTGAAGAACTTGCAACAGTTATATTTGAAAATACAATGCATGTATTTTTCCAAAGTTGTTGGTCTTGAATCTATATATTAAATTTTCAGTTTGTATTAGTTTTGTCTGTGGTTTAATATTTTGCAAAAACAAAAAATGTTTGATGAAATACGAAATGCAGGGGGGGGGGGGGTTAGGACAAAGGATGTGTTACATATTACCAAAATAGCTTTGACATGCATAAGGGATTGACAAAAAAAAAAAAAAAGATTACACTGATTTCTGAAAATAGTGCTAGTGTGTGCTCCTATAGCAGTTGTTAATTGACTCCACTACCATTTCTTCATCAGTGTACTGCAGAAACTGGCCATGTTATGACAATAGACTCCCACTACCTAAGGAAGCCCCATAACCACTTGTCAGGATAACATGGCAGCAAGGCATGGTGAAGGTTGAGAACTTCTAATTAATTTATTTGCAGCAGCAACTTTATAGCTTTGCTGATCTTCTGGTTGCATTCCCATATTAGTACACTCTATTTGATGGTACAGTTCCACTAGCATAACCCTCTGTTCCAAGTTCAGAATTGTGCTTTACCTTACATTATTAGTGACAGAATAACAGTTGTTATCCAGAACCTGTGGGATGCACTTCCAAAATTATTTAATGTATCTGTGCAAAATACTTTTCCTGCATGTTACTAAGTTCACCATACAGACTGTTTGAAACACCTATACCCACTTTATCCCTAGCTGATATTAACAGTGTAAATATATGCTGCTGATGCATAAAGCTTTCACAATAAACTTCCTTAAAATTTCAACCCTTTATAAAGGCAGTCCTAAGTTTAACTAAAGGCTTGCCAGGAAAGTTTCAAATACAACAGAATTCGGTAATTTTTTGCAAAAGCACATGGGTTAATTTCATGATCAGTTAAATTTTATCATTTCACAAAAAAAAAACTTTGTAAGCTTAATACTTGTTTCTAGTACTTCATTGAGTACATCCATATTCTTCACTATTACCAAAACGTTTTGGCATAAAAACATTGAAATCAAACTAGTTCAGCAATCATTCTTATATATGTGGGTTTTCAAACAGTTCAGACGTACATGTACATGTGTATGTTCATGAAAAAAAACAGAGAAATACTTTTACATAAAACAGTAACCACTTCAGACAACAATTATTGGATGTACAGAGTAACAGCTAAGAAAAGCATCCAAAAGAGAATCGTGAAACTCTCAACAAGAACTTCAACATATTAACTCAAGACCTATAAAAAAAACAACTAATACAGGGGTACATGATTCAGCTTCTTTATTAGAATATGACACAGACATTTAAGAATATCAATATAAAATTCCAAAACATGCTTGCTTTTTTAAAAAAATTTACATACACATGATAGTGACAGAATTACGAAATGCTTGATCCTCCTCTTTTTTTTGTTTTTCACATTAAATCTCCAAATAGCTTACCAAGATTAGGAATAAATATTCTCAACATCATCACAAATGTGTGGGGTGGGAGAGAAGAAAACTTGTTTAAATGTCGGGTCACATTCAACAAACCACATGAATCACTAAATTTATTTTCTCAAAAGAATGTAATTAGTTTCTGAGCTGCAAAAATGCTGCAGATTTTGCATCATTTGCCAGAAGACACTAAACCTGAAACTTGCTGAGCTGACCATTGGTACACCAAAACCACGTACTTCTGTACGGTAGCTCCGGTGTCAACAGCATACTTCTGAAGATTTTCTACAGAAAGATTTCCGCTGTAAAAATAGAAATATTATATGAAGTTATATTGTTCTACCACCTCATCAAAAGATGCATTATACATACAACCCAAACTTGGGAACAGTTTTTTTAAAACATGTTACCCATTTACATATATTTAAATGTTCTATCAGCTTTGCAACAAGTACCACCTAAGCACCAAAAATACTTGTCTATTTGCTTCTGTTTTTATACACCCATTACCCAAGTCATAAGATAACTTTATGAAAGATTTGTGATCATGTCAATTAACAATGTGTTATGTTAATTTTCGTCAACATTTGGAAAAAGGTGCAAATCACTCATACCTGCAAAACCTTAAATGTGTATTCTATTATTTCATTAAATGAAGAAATAATTCAAAGCAGAATTAACTTCTAAAGGAATCATGGCAACAAAGCCTTTTCAATATTTCATTTATACACAATAACAATTGACTTCTTGTAACTTTCTATTACATTTATTTACAATAAAGGTAACTTTTAATGTACCAAAATTAAAAATGATTTTCTGAGCCAGCAGTAACAACCTAATTTAACCAGCTCTATATATCGAGCTACCTATGTGTGTTTGTGTACGACATAATCTGAACACAAAAATGCAATTAAAGCAGATTTAAACTTTCAACCATTGTTTATCCTCTTATATTGCTTTTTGTTAAACAGTGACCACCACTACCACCTGTTGGTGAAACCTTAGAAAAGCTATATAAACATTTATCAAAATTATGGTTGTTATTTTCCAACTTATAAAAAACAAATATACATGCAGAGTATGAATCTGTGTGTATATTTACATTCTCTATAGTTTACTCAACTTGGTCAAAATTTTTACCATATTTATACAAACATTTACATTTCTGGTTAAGATCACTGGACAAAAACTTCTCAACTGTTTGTTTTTGTTTTTAATTATGCACAAAGCTACACAAGGGCTATCTGTGCTCTGCCCACCACGGGTATCGAAACCCGGTTTCTAGCGTTGTTAGTCCTCAGACATACCGCTGTGCCACTGGGGGCTTCTCAACTGTTAAAGACTTATTCATTTACAATAAAAACTTCTGTTTTCCAAAAATTCTGATGATACTTGTATCTTCTACAATAGGAGTTACATATTTCTTGTGTTTTTGTATAGAGCTGCATGTCTTGAAAACAAGAATAATCAGTGTCATTGAAATGCTTTAATTGTACACAAAGCATTTTGGTAACACTATGATAATAATCTGATAATGTATAAAATTACTGTTTTCCTAAGTTCTTCACCACCAGGGTGTATACAGAACTTGAAAAAATAAATTCCTTGACCATTTACATTATATGCATGCATGCATGTGTGTGTGTGTGTGTATATATATAAAGGAACTTATGCTCAGAAATCATGCATTAACTGAATACTTGAAATTATATACTAAATGCAGTAGCTAGCCAAAACATTTCTGTTGGTCATTATTACTGGCCCGAAAAAAAAGAAGACTTTGGGCCTTTTTCCCATGACTTTTCCATATTTTCCCTTACTGTATACACCTTGACCACTGAAGGAGTAAAGAACAAATAATAGTTTGTAAGAAAACCCCAATTTTTCTACAAGTATTAAAGCACTAAAACAGCTCATTACTGAAATGAAAGAAGTTCAACCCCAGACTAACAACCAATATGAATGTTACTAGATACAGACGGAACCTGGTATTCACACTTAATGATACATATCTTATTTTTAATCCTTGAATTACTGTTTGGATTCCATGGACCCCATCAGCTAAACTAATTATTCACCAAACTGCTTGTAGGTCATGACTTTATAGCTTATCTTCATCAGAAGTTATTATTATTAATCAATATTAAATTTTACCACCACCCCCTCAATCCTGCTATAGATTTTACATAGAAAATAAGTCAGTTTTTTACACTTAAGCATTATAAAACAGGCAAAAACATAAAATTACTCAATTTTATGCAATATGTGGGCCTGATCAGTAAGGCACATTACATAAATACGTTGGTAATAGGGTACTGCAACTCTAGTGCTGTAAGGATTGAAATCAACAATAAACAAATTCAACTTCAGAAGCTCTCTCTTTAAAATGAACTCTGATATTAATTTATTCCCTTTGTACTTTCCTTAAACTAATTTTGGGTGTGTGTGTGTGTTTTGCACAATGAATTTCTATTATAGGTAGATAAAATACTATAAAGTAAAAAAAAGATTTGCCCAATGTTTTAAAACTGGCAGAATAATCTACTTACGTAAACACATTTTCTTGCAACCATGACCCGATGATTGTGAGGTAATACACCAAATGGCTTCCAAGCCAAACCAAATATTTCTGAATCACCAACCAAGAATCTAATGCTACAGCTACCACTTTTTCTGTGAACTTGGGGAGCTTACTGTTCAGCTAAAAAAAATATATACAGAATAAAAGTGTTTTATTCTACTTCAAACAATCATACATTACTTAAAACTTAGTCATGAACATTTCAGCAATATAACTTTATTAGAATTTATTAAAAAGTTACTTGAAAGCAATCTATACAAGTTTTTAGAACATTTGTATTTTATTAGTTAAGATGTTTTTTTTATTTTGTGTTTTCTAATAAATATATGAATGTATAAACATTATGGGACAACATTTTATTTTTCATTAAAAATGACAGGCTTAAACTTACCATATAAAGATGATTTAACTTGCATATGAGTACCAAAACCTTTCTAGTCTTAATTGTTATGATGTAAGGGCTACTTTTAGTTGTCATATGAACAGGGACAGACCTAGGATTCCAGGCTTGGCCAACGATACTACTGTACAAACATTGTTTTATAACTTACCCACATATATCAAGCCTTGTGATGTATAGTTTTTTACTCAACAGTGCATGACACTTAGTAAAAATGTGTAACTATAGACATTATTTAAATTTTAATAACATGAAAGTATTACAGACTACAAAAAAATTAAGTTACTAATTGAATATCAAAATTATGGCTAAATCTGTTCTTCAAAAATATACTTCAATATTGTACAAAATAATAACCAGCTAACAGCACACGTATTTAAATGTGAGAGTCAAAGCCACAAAGACAGTAGTTCCCTGGCATTTTGGCTATGACATGTAGCAGTGGGAATGACATGGATATGTTATCAGTTAACCCGCTCGTTACAGGCAGGCCAGTTAATAAAAATTTGATTAAAAAAGAAAGAAAAATACAATCTTTTGTTTATAATGTTGAATTTGGATCTAGCATGACCATTCATTATCTAAACCATCTTGTGGAACTGCCAACATAAGCCCAAGGAAATATGAAATACAATACTGAAATGTTGGTGGAAATCCTGCCTTTATGACTGAAATAACATTTAAAACAATAAAAAATGTTATGTATGTGTAAATATAATCTTGAAGTACTGTTGCTTATTTAGAAAAACAAAGGAATGATTAATCTGGTAGATAAGTTTGTCAATGTACTGGTGTGATAAATTACGAAAATAATGTGTTCATCTGTAATTTCTCTTAAGCCAACAACAATTCTCGTAAAATAAATTCTGATCTAGCTATTTTAAAAGCTCCTATTTTTAAGCATATCTGAGCGAGACTATTAAACAACACATCACATAGCATGTACAATTAAGTTCAGATAGGATTGTCATACATACCAACACTGAAGACCTGAAACTAGTTATTAAACTGACAACCTACAAAATTCTCAAAATCAATTCCTTAAACCGTGAAATAGTGATTTATAGAAGAGGAAAATTGGGAATTTAAAGTCACTATTGGCATTACTTTTTTTTTCAAAGGGAAGAGAATCATGAAATAGCAATTTCTATTTTATGTATAATTTTGGTTTATCATTCATGCATTTTTTTCCTTCTATTGTTAATTCAACTATATTTTTTACTTATCTTTAAAATGCTATCTTAACTGCCTCCAAATATGTAATAAATATCAAATCAGTAATTTTTTTTATATAAAGAAAGTGACAAAATGTTTCCTTAGTAGTGACATACAGACACTAGGTTCATGTATGATTATGTAAAACAAACCAAGTTATTTGTCATTTGATAAGCAATCCAAAGGTCTGAGAAGGAAATAAAAAGTCTATGAAAGACTGTCAAGAGGCATCAGAATATATATATTTATTGATTATTAAATGAAACAGGTCATTGGTGATAAATCATTAATTTGTGATATTTTAAAGAATTGGTTAATAAAGTGGCTGTTTAATACATAAATCTTTTCCATTTATGAAATAGTTATAGATCTGTACATATTTACTGGGTTTTTTCCACCCTCAGTAAATAAAACAAAATTACCCATTCAAGTAAAGGTGGGATCTTCACATTTATCCAGTCTCGTAGACCCTGGGTACTGTTCCATACATACATACACAGGGCAAAGAAATTAGTCCAAAATATTTCTAGGTAATAACCAAAGAAAGTAGACACTTTTCTATAGTAGACAGGTACATGATTTTCAGCCCATCTGGAAAACGAAAATAATAGAAAATCATTTTGATTTGCACAACAACCTGTAACTTTTGAGTCATTACAGAGCATCTCTTATTACTGACCTTCCTGGATAATAAGAGCTGGTTATACTTATAACTACAGCCTTAAACTAATTATAAAACTAGATTTCATGCACTATATACATGAACATTTAGTTTTTGACCAATGAATGACTAGACAATAAATAATGGAAACAGTTAAGACCAATTTTTAATTCTCTGATTCAAATATAACTTTTATAGCTACATAATTATTAATGAAATAATATTGATTTTTGTATTATGACATACATATTGTTAGAAAGGTTTTTCAAAGTAAAATGTTGTTTCTATCAACACTTAGTAGCTGATTATCTGTGTAATAGCTGGTACTTGAGGAATAGTTATTTAAAAAAAGATGAAAGAGTATTTGAAAATAAACTCAAGCATATTCAATGTATTATTAAGTGTAAAAAAAACTATAAAAGTTGAGGACTTTCCAAGATAATCTATAAGAATTTAAGGTCTCAAACTTAATTGTTATTGTTTAATAGCAGCTTACAGGATAAAATAAGTACAACTTATGAATTAATTACTAATCAGTGTAGCTGAAGATCACAGAAGATTGTCAGAAAACTACAGGGTACACAGTAATTGATAATTATACCTAGATAATCATACAGGCTGCTAGTCATGATAGTGAATGAACAGATCACTAGAGTAACCTAGAACAAAATATGAAGGAAAGCAATTTCAAAGCCCAAAATATATGAATCATGTAAGCTTATATCTCTAAATCCACTGTTATCTACAGGTTTTTATCTCTATGCTTTACTAGAGTAAATAGGTATTTACCTATATGCCTTATTAGAATACACTGTTATCCTCCCCCATGCTTGTTGGCAAACGGCCAGCACACCAATGTCCTTTAAAAACTTCCCAGTCTGAGATTCTGAAGCAGAAAAGATACTCAAACAAATCAACTTTTGAGAAAATTAATTTGTATATTTTATAATGGTAAAATAAATTGTACTATTAAAAGAAAAGCAAAAATTCAACAACAACCACATTTTTATAAACTTTCTAACACCAAAATAACCCACTGCGTACTTTCAACAGCTCTAACAATACAAATGACAACAGCAAATATTTTTCAGTCATTTATAACAGCTTTTTCTTTATCAGTAAAATTCAAAAAAAGTTTGAAATAAGCCCAAAGAGGTAAATGGGGCAGTAAAATGAACAGATATGAGAAATATAACATTTCTTTTTTTTTTGTATATTGTAAAACTTTATGAAATTAAAATGTACTTCAGTACAAAACATACAAATGTGAATTAGATGTATATTAAATTATATGTAAATAAACTGCGTGATGTTAATCAAGATTATCTTAATTACAGGTCTACCACCCGATTCTAAACAAAATACAACTAAATATAAAAGAATCTAGTAAAAAATATAGGACTAATATTTTTAGAAAATAATGACAAAGGGTATATATAGAAAAAGTTAACAAAATGAGAACAAGTTACATATACATAGATGATCTCGTAATTTATAACGTTTGGATAATTTTACATACTCAGTTATGTTTTCACACAGCAACTCTTACTCCTATTCTCATAGGTGCAGGAGAAGAGTGCTGGCAGAGGCATATGTTAGGCTAACCTAAAACTTATTGATATATATATATATATATATATATATAT